AACACCTACAGCCTATAGCCACATGGTTTTGTTCATGTGTGCATTGATAGCGTACCAAAAGACCATGTCAAAATGTACGTTACTTGCTTAATGTTTTACTTGCTTGCGCCCCAGGTTATCTTCAGTCACAGTGCGAGTGCAACTTACACGATTCTTGAGTACGTTGAGCGGTGTGCCAAAATGTTACAAAGATAGGTGCGTTTCTTTCAAAGCAAGGCCTGTGTCGGGTCCCTCACAAAACACGGAAAGCAACCCTTTTCATGCTTACTCAACCGTGAATGTTGAAAACGAAAGCAGTATACAAGGTCGATGGCGTGTTCGTCTGACAATTCTACGAATGTTGCATGAATGTACGACTACACCTGTATGTATACAATATGTACATGACAAGTACACGAGACACCAGGCCCTTCTAAAGGGTTATAGATGATAAAATTCGGCAAAAAGAAGGCCAGTTAGGCAGGTGGCGTGAGCCGCTGTAAGTGTAATCCCCCTGGCAAATAATTTTCCCTATACAAGACAGTTAGTCTGGTAGAGACTGTGGTATTCTCACCTCTCCTCTCCTGTTCAGCAATCTTCTCCGCCTCCTTAGCCAAGTCGTCCCTACCGATCTTTTTCATCATGTCAGCAAGTAGAGACAGGTCTCCCTTTGGTAACTTCAGCTTGTGTTCTAGTTTCACGAAGATCTCTTGCGGGTTCATGTGCTCGATGTCTCCACCTGGCAAAAGTTCTTTGCTCTCTACGTAGGTGCGAAGTGCCCTGCTTTCTTTGGCTTTGAGTTTCTGCGAGATCCGCAGAAACAGATCGTGCCGAGACATTTCCGCCATTTCAGTCACACTTCAGACAAATATGGCGGACTCACCTGTCCCGTGAGTGTGAGCAATCCCCCCGTTAAGTTTCACTATCAGTTGAGGGGGGGCAGGTAGTTTTAACTCCAGTTTTGTTCTTTCTTTCTTTCTTTCTTTGGATTTAAACCTTGCACACATTGCCCTTCAGACCCTTGAAAACCCTAACTGTTTTTTTTACTCTTGCAAGACTACTTAAACTAATGAATTAAACAGAAAAGACTATATTTGGCCCCCGTTCGTACCTTGGTACGGTCCCATTGTTGTCTCAAGGTTATAACCTTACAGGTGATCTCATCGCGTATCTTGTTTAAGTACAAGCAAGTTGGGGTAATGTTGCCTAGCCGCTGGTCTGTGAGTGCTCGGGGCTACTGTAAAGAATATGATCTTTGATATAGGATTGGAAACAGCTACACTGCTTGTAAAAGGCGGTGATTTCCTTAAAAAAAAACACGTAAAGTAAGTGTTGACTGAATAGCGGAAATGAAAGTTATCTCGTATGTCTAGTCTAGCTCAAAAATGATGAGCTCAATAAACAGCTGAGCTACTCTTTTACTACGTTTGACAGAAAAAAAAAGTACAGTATATATAGGGAAACTTTTCCCTAGCTCTTTTGGACAAGTACGATGAACAGTACGCCAAATCAGAAATCAGAAAATCATTAAATTTGTGCGCCCTGCCCCTGTTCCATATTTTAGCATAGGCCCTCGGTACACTTGCGCTCTTCTCACTCGTCTTCGTCTGGGCACTTATAATTTAAACTCAAATTTGTACACACGTTGTCTGGCAACCAGTCCTACATGTACCTGTGGCCATCCCATTGAAAGTACCCAGCATTATTTTTTGTACTGCCCTAAATATACACAATATCGTGCCTCCCTTTTTAGCAATTTAGCTAAGTTGGTAGGATTTGACATCAACCTCAATGATCTCTCTGATGATGTTTTAGTTCATTTATTCATTAGAGGTTCTGTATCACTATCATATCCAAATAACTTAAAATTTTTACTTTATGTTCAATCATTTATAAAGGAAACTAAAAGATTTGAGTGATTCTTTCCTATCAATTTTGTAAGTTTTGCCTGGAGTACTTTATACATTGTAACCTTATTTATTCTATTCTGTTATCATTAAGCTTTGCATGTCTGTTCTTGCATTTGCTTTTGTATTTTTGTAATGTTAGATGGCGACATGAACATAAGCTCCGGCTTGAGTGTGTCGTCATCCTGTCCACTTTGTTCCTAAATGTTTTAATAAAGAAAAAAAAACAGTACGCCATACTTTAACGTCCCACTCAGGATTTTGATCCAATAGCGATATCTCAAAGCAGATTATGTGGGACAAGGGGAGTCTATATTGGCCGCCTGTATCCATTGGCCTCCTTTAACCTTTGGCCACCCCAATAATTACAGCCAGGAGGCCGATGGTTACAGGCGACTAATATAGATAAACTTATTCGCAAAATCATGCCCGAAGGCTAATTGCTTTTACAATCAAGTATAATACTTAACAGGAGGCAGGTAACAACTGTCTGGAAAAAAACTTCTACTTCTACTACTACGCTAGCTATTATGGGGTTCGACTTCTTAATATAGGCTCCCCTTGCCCCACAGAATCTTCTTGGAGATTCCCCAGAACTTCTGAAGCGTGCATCATCATAGGGTGAGGTTGCTATTCCCCAGGTAACCGCTAGGTGGCGCGCCAAGACACTGAGAGAGGCACATGTGACCCTTGACCTTTATTTCGGCGCCAAAGAAGAGGGATTCTGGATCCGTGGTGAGTAGATGGATGCAGTTTCAAGCTGTTTTATAACGTTAGATTTGATCTTTTATGAGGTATCTTAACCCCCGTGTATATGAATGAACGTCGCGGTGGCATAGCTAGATATGCAGTGAGTGTAAGGGGTACGTTTTAAAACTTGTCAAATTATGTTATAAAGGCAAAACAATATGTTCTATATTTCAATATTTCTCTTGCAGGGAGGGAAGGGGAAGCCACCATAAAACTAGTATAAGTAAGGGAGGTAAGTAACCGTCATCTTATTCTTTTTATGGGCTGTGTCTTCATTATATATCTTACAGACATGATATTCTTATAAGACTCTTATAAATCACAAGTTGTTTTGAACTTACTACGGTATAAGATATAACTGCTTTCAGGCCATTTAAAATGAAGTGACAAAAAATATAAAGAGCAATCAGCTTTTATTGTTGTAACATTTTATTCTTCATGAATTCCAGCATCTCAGAACATTTGGTCAACAAAAGATTAAATCTGTGACAAAAAGCCCATTTATTTTGTTCAGCTCAGTGGAAGATACATCTTGTATGGCTTTTCAGTACATCAAAGTTTCTGTAACATATTTATGAATCTACATCAACTCTCAAAACTCCATAGGTAACGTTTCCCTATAAAGAAATATTCAAGACCGCCACAATTGAGGATTTTTGAAGTATGCCTTAGAACTTGGGGATTAACGTTACTGATGCTTAGGTCCAAGCAGATGCTATGCATGGTGGGCAGACATTGTCCAGAACTTTGGCCATTGCCCCCGGTCTCAGCTCTGGCCAACAGATACTGTCCTTGCCACCGTAGCATCTGCTTGGAGATTATACTGAATTACTGATGCCAAATTAGTAGATTTAATACTACATTTATGTATTTGTAGTTATTTTTGTATGTTTTTTTATGGGCGAGTTGTGCCTGAAGCAAAGAATAAACGAAACGAATTCACCGTTTTTTTTCTATGGTTGTTGTTGGTTACCCAGAGGAGTTATGGGAGCTGATGTTGTGGACTCATGATCATTGGAACCCTGGTTAATTTTACATTCACTTGGTAAGACCCTTCTTCTAATAATCGTTATACTGGATGTCAACCATAAACATCCAGACTGTGTCCCCACCCATATATTTAAGCCTTGTGCCCTGTCTGCTTCAGTATGATAACAGATCATCAAGTTGCCAACACCTCAAGCATTAGGAAAATGTACAGCTTTTATGATGCCATCTTTTACCACCATGTCCAAGTTGTTAATTTTGACAACAGAAGCCTTAATTTCTTTCCAAAATTTGCTACATTGAAAATCACCGTTTCCTCTACACATACATTGAATAACATCTATGGTAGAAGAAAATGCTGCTACTTGTAGTTAGAGACTTAAAGATACCATCACCAAGTTGTTTACTTTGTGACGTCATTTTATCACTCTCAACAACAAAACAGGCTAAAGTTAAGACACCTGGAGATTTCTGTGTTTGCGTTTTAGTTAGTGCAACATTCATGATCATTGTCATTTATACGTTTATAAACATAGCTCTGTCTTTTTTAAGACTTTTGTGTGCTATTAAACATTGATCGATGTAGTAATTGATCTGGCTTCCATAGAATTACCAACAGTGTGGTGTCACTAATAGTAGCCCTGCTCGAGATGTCAGGTATTTTGCAGTATTATGTACAGCAATTACACCAGACAAAAATGTGTTTGTGACAAAGAAAGCAGCCTGTAACAATATGTATTCCTTGGAGTATTGACTTTGTACTTTTTCATTGCTAAAGCAACCAAAATCTATGTACATCTTTGTATCTGTCAGGAAAAACTCTTTTGTTTCCAAATCTACTACCATCCTACATCAGGAATCAGATGTGGTCTCTGATAGGACATTAAACAGTGTAATGCATTGTTCTTTGTACACATTTGTCACGAATAGAGTTCTCTATTCTCCATTATGGTCCAGACAATTCGGAAGAGTCTAACTCTAACATTTATAGCTAGACATCCTAGCCTTTCTTAACATTATCACCAGTCTGTTCACAATTTCTTCTCTTACATTGTATGGGTACATGTAGTTAGTACAGTGACATTCCCATTCCAAGCCCATTCCTTCCCTATTCCGTTTACTAAATAACTTCATCTCATATACATACCAAACCTTGGTACTTTGTTAAACATTGCACTGTCCCTTCACCCCTGGAAATTCCTCCAGTGAAAACATCTACCGTACGTATGCATTTTCTAGCTACACCTGAACAAAACTCCGCAATCTACGCCTCCCGGATGCGTTACGCACACGAGCAGAGGAGACTATACCAGATATTTTTGCACGTCCCAGGAATTTTTTTCACGCGGTTCTCGCGTAAACGCGTCAGTTTTTTTTCGCCCGGGAGTTTGGGACGTTTTCGTGATGACTTGAGCACATCGCGGGGCAGGCAAGCTGTGTAACCAACGAGAGGTTGCCCCTAGGTTGCCCCTGGTTGCACTTGCGTGGTGATAACAAAGGCATCTGGTGAGTCACGTGGGTCAGGAGACGGCGCACTTCCTCGGCGACTGAGAGGCCTCCGCATTCGCCTTTCTTCTGATGTCGTCTGGAACATGCAGGGATCATATCGTCAATGCGTGAGACAACTTTTGTAGTGTTTGCATACTCAGGAGGTACATGTATATTAATTTTTTGTACTTTGTCAAGAAGAGATGTTGAGTTGTCTGACTTAGCATAACAAAACTCAATGGCAGATTCTTCTAGCTCTTGTGGGTATGCAGGAATAGCACTGTGTAGATGAAAGTTTATTCCCATATCGGTATGGGAAATACTTTCATCTACATGTACACAGTGGTATTCCTGCAGGGTCTGCCATCAAACCATGGTGTCTATGTACTAGAATGTCTAACGCTTATGAGACGTGCATTGTTCAACAAATGAACAACAGAAGATAAACCAGATAGTGAGAGTTTAGTGATGGCTGATGTTTTCTGTAGGAATACCAGTACCAGTAGTCAAGCTTGTTTAACCATCTAATTGTTAGAAATGTACACTTGTGTTATAGATCAAGACACCCACCTGCAAGTTTTCTCCTGTCGATCGTCAGGAGTGCTTCGTAGATACCTTTGATGGGGTTGTTTTGGCGATGCATTCACCGTGCAGCCAGATCAACAACATTCTGTAGCCATGCTCGCGATAGCTGTTGGTTCCTGCGTTTGGAAAAGGTATGAAGCACTGTAAACAACACCAGCCCATACATTGTCATAGAAATCATTTTCTCATTACATTATGTTTATATGTATCCTTCATTCATGTTGTCTTTGGATAAAGCATGGATACTGTTCTGGATATAACAGAAGCCAACCACCTATCCCTGTTATGCTTTCTCATGGGCCAGTCTCAATACTCATGGGCCAGTGCAGGTTAGGTGCAACTACTGTAGAAATTGGCTTGCACACCCCAATTGTACTGCCACTAACCTGCTTGTGTAGGTGGTAATATTTCCATTAGCCTAATGTGTATACTTTACTCATCCATGAGACAAAGGCCATAACTTTTTGTTCTATCTGGGTCTATCTTGATGAAAGCCTACCCAAATCTCTGTTAGGTAAAATTAAATTAATCAGCTGACCCACCCGCGTACTGATGCTCAATAGCCTTGATGTGTCCCTCACTGAACTTCCAAATCCTGGCTAGTCTCTTCCACTCGTTGGACTTCAGGTACTTGGTGGCGAGTTTGAAGCAGATGTTGCGGATGTGCTGCGTCTCTGAGGACCTGTCAGTGTTAGAAATACCCATCTGCAGTCAGCTTTTTTGCAGAGACATTTTCAACATTGCATGCAGATGAAGAAAAATGAAGCAGAGTAAAGAGACTCTTTTTAAACAAGCGTTTTCTGTATAGCCAACATTTTGGTGACCATTTGTCACCTTCCTAAGGGCAATTCTGACTAGTTCAATTTCCCTGCGGAAGGTGACAGACAGTTAAAATGTCAGCTGTGCATAAAACACAGTATAGTCTTGGTTGTGTAAAAGGAGTCTTCTGACAGTGCTTCTCACCGCTATACATGTATGTTGTCAAATTTTGTGGCAAGAAGCAGAACTCCAATCAGAAGCTCTTAGGAAGGTGTCTGATAGACACCAAAATGTAAGCCCATTCTTGGTTGTGTAAAAGAAAACTGCATGTATCCTATAATTTATTAACCTGATGAAACTACTAGTATACAAGGTATTTCTACCACTGACCTGTCCTGTCGGAATGACACCTTCCTCAGCCGCGACTTCTGCGGCGCCTTGATGGTGACCGAGTCCTCCGAGACGTACGTCCCCGAGAACTCCTCCCCCTCGCTGAACTCCTCTTCGTCCTTGAAGTCCTCGCTGGGGATGGAGTAGGGGTCATGGCCATTGAGATCAGCTGACTCTTCGTCAAAGTCCTCCCCGTCCAGGTTGTGCGACCTAAAAAATGTTTAGAGTTTGATGTTCAAGGGTTAGGTGTAACAAATCGTTCGGTGTAATGTAGCCAGCTGCCGCTACTCCGCACTGCAGCAGAAGCTGGTGTGTTACACCGAAGGGCGGTCATAGTGAGACTATACATATACAGAATTTGGACAGGTGTGTTATGCCAAAATACCAGCTATACGGATACAGAAGCTGGTGTGTTATGCCAAAGGGCGGTTATACAGGCTATACAGATACAGAAGCTGATCGTGATGTGTTATGCCGAAGGGCTGTTATACCAGGCTGTACACATACAAAAGTTGGACAGGTGTGTTGCGCCGAAGGGAGGTTACACCGGCTATACAGATACAGAAGCTGATCATGATGTGTTAAGCCGAAGGGCCGTTATACCGGCTATACAGATACATAAGCTGGTGTGTTATGCCGAAGGGCAGTTATACCAGCTATACAGATACAAATACTGGTGTGTTACGCCGAAGGGCGGCTATACCAGCCATTAAGATACACAAGCTGGTGTGTTACGCCGAAGGGCGGTTATGCTGGCTATACAGATACAGACCTCCTGCGCAGCCGCGTGGCGGACCGGTAGCCGCTCGTGTCGCTCGCCCTGCTGCTTCCTGTCTCGCTCTCCTTCCGGTCGGGGCTGTTTGGCGTGTTCAGCTTGTCCTTCCCGTCGACCGTCGGGTGGTCGCCCCCCGCCTTGCTCCCCTTGTCCAGTTCGTCGACCAGTTCGTCCTCGAATTCGTCGTCGTCTTCGTAGTCGGAGTACTCATCTGAGTACCCGTCCTCGTCTTCATCCAGGTAGGCGAATAGCTCGTCCTCGTAAAACTCCTCATACTCCTCCTGGTCCTCGGGGAGGCCCTGGGGATGGAAGGAGTTTCTGATCAGTTACAATGGTGTTTGTGGTGTTGTCCCTCATACATTTTGTATATAACTTTTGTATATAACAGTGCGTCCTCGTAAAACTCATACTCCTCCTGGTCCTCAGGGAGGCCATGGGGAATGAAGAGGTTTTAGATCAGTTTCCAAAAAATCACAGCACAAAATGATAGTTGTTTCAGCACCAAGGACAAAACCATGCTGGGAATGCTTCTGCAGTTAAACATTATACATGAGCACATCCTGGCACTTAACTCAAGAAAATCTGTGAAAGGTTGAAACTCACCTACCTTTAAAGACACCCAAAGTGATTTCAGGGCAGTAAAGCTGGATTTTTCTTTTCAATTTACTGGCCATTTTTAAAAATGTTTCTACTACTCAAAGATACAGGAAACTCATTGCCTTAGTGTGACACTCAAGACCACAACCTGGATGTCATAATTATTTTGGAATGTAAAGTACCTTTCTCATCTCATTGTATCGCTCTGCCTTGATCATCATGTCCACAATGGCAATGTGCTCTCCCCTCGCCGCCACTCCAAGTGGGGTCTTCCCTTGCTGGGGTGGGAAACAAAATGGAAGGCTGTTCACAAATACTGTATGTCATATATATTAAATTTTGTATGAAACTATTTCAACTTAGAATTCAAGCAAAGCATTAGTCCATGACCAGTATGCAATGTCATGTCACTTGGATACTTTATTATGCTTTTACTTTTTAGCTTGCATACAATTCAAATACAAATGGTATTCTGCCTGAAGTCTTCAATGAAATATGAAATAGTACAATTGCATGATAAATAAATGATAGGTGGTTGTCACTGACTTGCAAAACTTGCACATTTACTGCATGCATGTCCGTGCCTTTAGAACGTAATGGCATGGCAGCTGATTCCACTCTCTCATCTCAAGTTTTTCGTGGAAAGACATACATTGTACATGTAATCTTCGCTATCTTCAGTCGTTGGGATTCTGGAGAGTGGCCTGTCGTACCTTATCATTGATGTCCAATCTGGCTCCAGCCTTCAGCAGCATCTCACAGACGTCATTGAGTCCGTTCTCCGAGGCCAGATGGATCGGAGTCTGGGTCCTCTGTATGGGACAGAACATGATTTAGTGGTATCAGGAACATGATTTACAAATGTACATGTGTACTAGCCTGAGGTCTGGAATTAGACAAGTCAAAGTCTTGGTAATTTTTGTAATTACAGTATATTGAACTTTAGCTGAATCCACAATTAGCTTGACTTTTCAGGTCTTGTCTTATAAATTGATTATTTCCTAGTGTACTGTAACAGTTATAAAAAATCACATAAGAGACAGGGTGACTGCAAGAAAGGAATCAAAGATAATATACATAAATAGAACATAGAAATATAAGAAGAACAAGTTCATTCAATAAACTTCTGATTATTCCAGTGCCACATACAGTTCATGCATTTACAATAGATAACTCAATTATGTCTTGTCACAGGGAAGACAATGTGAGATTTTGATACTTCCTTTCTGCATCTTTGCTTTGTGTTATACATAATCACACTATCTAATCTTACACAGTGACCGTGGGGTGTCTGTATGAATAAACAGGAGCAGGTACTAATGTATAAATGCACATGCACACTGCAGTCAGACATTATTGACAGAAGCTGGGCTGCATATCCCACACAGCCTAAGTCATGCCTGGAGGCATGCGCCTTCCATGGGTCGACATGAAGGAGAATATTACTATGAGTTATTAATGTTACATATCTGCCATACTTTGAAGGTGATATACTTCTTTGTATGGGTGCTCACATCAAGGGAATATGACGTATTGATATTACGAAGTCGAACCTCCAGTATTAAATGTATTTAAAATTTAGATCAGATAGATCTAAAGACTAGACATCTGTTTTACCTTTTCTTTTGTCCATTTATATTGTTGTACCTCTGTGTTCCCTTGTAATCTTGTAATTAGCTTTCGGCAAAGGAAAACTTTGAACACTAATCCTTTTATCGTACTTTAAAGCAGATGTATCAGGGCTCGAAATACTATTTCTGCATATCTGCACTGCTGCAGGTACAATGTAACGTCTTAAATTACCTGCACCACTCAGAATTTAGAAAGTATGGATCGCTGTTCAGAAGCCATTGCCATTATTCCTTTAATTTGTACTTCATAGGTGGTAACAGTCAATGAAGCAATCAGAAATCCAAATACACCTACATTATATTCAAACCAAGTACATGGGCCAGTGCCAATTAGATTAGACATCAGAAATACCTGCATGCACAGCTCCAATTTTACCTGCACCAACATGCATATATATGGTTGTAGTATTTCGAGCCCTGTGTACTCTTATGTACAATGTATTGGTACTCACGGCGTTGATAGCGTTGATGTCACAGCCAGACTCGATGAGTAACCTGCAGACGTCGTACCAGTTGGACTGGGCTGCCAGGTGCAGGGGTGTCATGTGATGCTGCAGGTCAGACCAGAACATGGGCAGATTTATCTTAAAGTTTATAATTATATCCTGACTAACAGTGCAGTCACATTCATAGCTATAGGGCAATGTATAATTTGGATGTCGACTGCTAACAAGAGCAAAATGAGATTATGAAACCTGACTATGGCTCCAGTCACGTCATACATAGAGGAAAACTAAATGTATTTTCAGGATAGTTGTACATGTCAACGTCATTGTTATGGAAAGGACTGTTTTAGATAATTGTCAGTGGTTGGTTCTATCATAGACTGCTTGATAATTCGGCGGCATCAAAATTGTACAGTCAATGTCCACTTATCTATCAATATACTCTTTATTATAAGCTCAGACATACATGTGCTATAGCTACAATTGCTTGAAATGTCTGATTACAATTGTTCTTCCCTTGTCACAATTTTAAGAAGACTTAGAGAAAAATAGTACTACGTAATTTACTAATAATACTAGGTAACTCACATGGTTCATGGAGTCCACATCAGCTCCGTAGTCGATGAGGATTTTGGAGACTCTCGGATGGCCGTTCTGGGCTGCCATGTGGAGGGGACTGACCTCTTTCTGTGTCCAAAAAACCAGACGTTTGTAACAGTTAGCTTCTTCATAACTTTACAACTACATAAAGATCACAAACACCATGCAGTCCACTGCACCTTAGTCTCTACCAGACTCCAATGGGATGATGGCCAAATAGACTGAATAAAATATGGCAGAGGAGTTAATGAATGTTAAACATCCTGGTAATGAGGTACACATTGTCAAGGAAATTGTTTTCGAGCAACTGTATATAGATTTCCAGTTTACAAAATCTGTCTAGTTGCTTGATAAGTAACAATTTCCTTGTGTGTGCCAGATGAGTTAGCAGGGTATGAAATGACAATTTGCCAAATTGTAACTATTGCTGACTAACTCCAATGCCATATTAGTCTATTGGGCCAATTTATACAGCATTTCTACAGCCTATCCATTGGAGTCTGTAGACACTAACCACACCCCTCCACTCCTCAGTTAGCTCTTCAACTGCACCACCATCACCACAATAGAGCACTTTGATTGGTCAGTATTTTATTTAAATTTGTATCCCATGATGCTCAAGTCCATGAAGAAGCATAGTGACTGTTGAACCCACTTTCCTTCCACAATAAGTGATAAAGAATGTCCTGTTGAAAGTGGTTAGTACTTTTATTGCTGTATATCTGTTAGAGGCCACCACACCTTTGTTAGGAACCAAGTACACCAAACTAGCACTGTGAATAAAGGCACCATGTAGGAAAACCAACACAACACTGCAATTTTGCTCTGTGGTTTGACATACTTTCACATCAACAGGCTTTTTGCCTGGCACAAATGCTGGATGGGCCGCAGGCGTACATTTCTGAAAGTAAATAATCACAGCATTTTAATCCATCAAAAGTAACTCTGGCTTACTGTACTAGAATGAACTGTTGATATTATAGCAATCACAAAATAACAAGTCTCCCATTCTCAGATTATGTGGGAAAATACAAAGTAGCAATCTGCTCAAATTTGAAGTGCTATCATTTCATGATTGATATTTGTTGTTAGCATAACTTACAGGTATTGAATGTTTACTATATCTATAGTCTATTACATTTTGTGTATAGTAATCTGAATTGTGATAGTAATAATGAAAACAGTTTTATAATGGGACTCTGTTCTTTTCTAGTTCATAATGTGTAGATTCCATCCTCCACAAATTCTAACTTAAAATACATGTAACATATATATATATATGGATTTGTTCGAGCTTCAATCATGAAACCTAGCCTGCATCTTGTTTTATTTTTTCTGACCCTGAACTCTTTTCTCATGAATTAGTGGCCAGCAGACCAATTTGAGTACACTGTATTTCGTGAATAAACTTCTAGCTCAAACAAGCAAACTCACGTGGGCATCTGCGTTCACGTCTGCGTTGTTGTCCAGCAGTATCTCAGCGATATCAATCCAGCCCTCCTCTGCAGACAGATGGAGCGGCGTCTTGCCATCCTGGGAAAAAAACATGGATGTTAATATTAATATACTGTTATCTACTTGTTGCATAAATGCATAAAATGTTTATAGATTGGCTATTATGTTCTACTTGAAGCCTTAGAATGCATGGTTAATCCTAATTCCATGTAGCCTGACTACATGTACATCACCCTAACTTTTACATGTAGCATTCCTTCTATTGGTTAGGCCCCTAGAAGCTTGATAATTAAAACCTCTATGTCAGGAGAATTGTTAACAATCCTGTTCATTTATGGATAATTGTGCTAACAAGGACCAATCATTGTTAGACTCAAGAAACTGTCTGTTAGGTATTAGATTTTCGATTTTTAGTTCGTTAACGAGTTGCTTGTAATTAGAATAGATACCGTGTCTCTCTCGTTGACCTCAGCCCCGGCCTGGATGATCTTGGTCAGGACCTCAGGGTGGCCGTTCTTGGACGCGTAGTGGACAGCTGTGCTTCCATCCTGAAGGAAAATAGTACACAGTTTATTACCTTTGCAGGAGGAAAACATATTGTTTTTGTTCTGTTGCATCTTCTTCTCCAAACAAATAAAGTCAATGACCTGGACCAGATGACTATCAACATGGTAACTGGTGCAAGAATGCTGGGTTTGATTCAATAACAATCATAGTACAAAATGATAAGTGTTTCAGCACCAAGGACAGAAACATGGTGGGAATGCTTCTGCAGTTAAACATTACAAATGAGACCGTCCTGGCACGTCATTCAATGAAATCAGCAAAAGAATGAAACTCACCTTCCTTTTAAAGGCACCCAAAGGAATTTCAGGGCTTTAAAGTCAATTTTCTTGCCATGTTTTTTGATGTTACAGTAGTAAGTTGCATCAACTCTTTTCCATATCATACCGATATCTTTGAGGCAAAACTTTGATGTTGCTGACAGAAAATAGTTGCTTGTTTGACTCCTCACGTAGTTTGTTTTTGAGCTGTTTCAAAGGCTTCAAGTATGACATGAATGATGAAAATTAAATGTGCTCGGAAATGGCAGTACAGGAAGTAAATGTCAGTATCACACAGATTTTCTCATCGAGAATATATTCTGTTTTTCCACCCTGACATTGCAACGGATGCCTTTAACGTTCACTCCTGGCGTGGATTCATGTCTCGTTCAAGATAAAAGCCGTCATTACATATCAAAGGCTCCAGATTGCTCCCCCTCTTATCCGGCAGCATGAAGAGAGTGCCAGTAAAGGTCAGGAGTTATCCCTCCCCCCCATTAGAGCGGCGAGGGAAAGTACCTTGGATCTGGCGTTGACGTCACAGCCCGCCCCGATGAGGTACTCCACCGGCTCCAGCTTACCATGCTCCGCCCCGATGTGGAAGGCAGTCTTACCAGTCTGCAGTAAAAACATCAGTGATTGAAACTCTACCAGTGCTAATGAAGGTATATAGAAGTTCTATTGTATTAAGTGTACCTTCTCTAGTATATTAATTGGGCTACATGCAGTAGTTACTTTATATGGTGCCAATGTGGAAAGCAGTCTTGCAAGTCTGCAGCAAAAAAGTAAAATGATCACTAACTTTTTTATTGCAAATTTTTACCAGAGAACTAATTGCAAACACTTTAGAACATTTGATAATGAAATGCAGTGGCAAACAATATTCCATAATTAGAACTAAAGGCTAACTGGTTTTGATTTGTTTTTTTGAGACAGACTGAGGAAGACAAAGGATCCCGGTTTTTGTGTGTAGGCTTACATTTGTTGAGAAAAAGGTAGTTTTCTTTAAACATTTATAAACATGTGAAAGTTGGTATAATTTGGTGACTTAAAAAATATCAGATGAACTGAGCGTGATCAAAACTTTAGTGTTGAGAAAAAAAAAAGTTTAAAGCATGTAATCTGAAGGAGTCATAGGAATACATGTAGATACGAATGCTGGGTTTCCCTCATACCTTATCCTTCCCATTGAGATCAAAACTCTCCAGGTCCTCCAGGATAAACTGTATAACGTCCACATGGCCATTCTGTGCTGCACAGTGGAGGATGTTTAGCCCTTGCTGCAGTGGCAGAGAATTACAATATACTTAGTAATCAGTATTAGAAAACTTCGTTACACAACAATTGTACAAGGTACAGCATATGGCATCTACTGCTATTATAAATGTAACAACAAACATGTACATTTTACATCTTACCCTAACAGTATCCTATCAAGAACATACTTGGAGACTAATCTACCTTACAAAGACTAATATTAGAGGAGGTATATATTAGATGAGAATGTGCTTTAATTTACAATTATCATATAGCCAGGTGACGTTGACCAATCAGAAGGCGCCATTCCACATTCCTTATGACGCCGTAATGTCACAAATAGAGTCAAAATCGGGTATTTATTCATCCCAATCCATACATTCAGTCGAACCGCAGACCGCTATGCGCATCGGTTCTGCGCAGCTCTCTCTAAGATCTCGTTTAAATCTCGCGCTTCTTTTCCAAGGTAATGTGATCCGCGAGAATCCGCGAGAGTTTGCTACTGTTTACTGTTTCGCTTGTAACTCCGCTTTGCGAAAGTGTTTCCTTGTCATACGTTAATGTGAGATGTAAGAAGGGCCGGCGTCACGCTCAAGGTCGCAGATGTACATTACCGGTGGTGTTTGTTGGAGAAACGAGGTTTCAAAGTTGACCGTGTATGATGGAGTTGATTCCACTCGAGATAGGTACCCTTTAGTTTTTTTGGGGGCAAACCCGTTTGCCCTATTTCATCGTCGATTTGGTGTATTGTTTAATAAAGTATAGACCCTCCCTCATCTATCGTGTGTTGTTTCTTTTGGGATCCTGTAGTTGTTACAATATAATAACCGATAGTAAGTTGAGCTCATTCAGTCGAATTCTCAACGATTTTTGTTCGAATCTCAAGCTTTTGCAACTAGTTCTAACCAATACACCTGTAATGTAAGATATGGCTGAAATATAGTTATGTTGGCTTGACACCTGTGTACTTAATTTTGAAGTTGCACAATGTGTATTGCAGCTCGACCTTGAGAAAAAGTGTAATTTCTTTACAGTTTCTTTGCCTTTGAAAATGTTCTGTTAAAAGTTATATAAAAAAAAAAAGAAAGTGACAGAATATCGACCAAATAGTAAGCTTCAAAACGATACCCACTTTACGGATGAAAACAGAAGAGAAGGAATTTGGGCATGAACAAATACAACAACAGGTTGATTTTTCATGACCTAATTTTTGAAGGAGAAATCGGACACTATGACCTGTTACTGTAAATATACAAACATCGGGCATATGTACTGACAAGTTGGTATAGTTGCACATGAATCCCACTTTCTCTAGCGTCTTTGTGATATAAGTCTGACTTGGAATGGGTTTCAGAAAGTCTGTTTGTGTCGAAAAAACTTGATTACTTCTTTTTATGAACTTTCGCAAACAGCGGTTGAAAGTTGCAACATTGTTGGCGGCGCGAAAAATGGAACGCGCTGCCTTGGTTCCATGGATCGAACGCAAGAGTTCGAAACCGATTGACTTCAAATTTGACGATTTTTGAATGGTCAGAACCTTGTGTTAAATTCCTCTTTTTGTATATACTTGAATGTTATCATATCACGTATTATATTGCATGTGGTAGCCAGATTCATACAGTTTCTCATACCAAGAAACGAATTTTATGACATCACGCGAAATGTATCTAAATGTAGCGGAAACTCAGGATGGTGTGTGTCAGTAGCTTACAACTGGGCTAACATTTGACCACCGCGATGTGCGCATCGTCACAGTTTTTTTGGGGGCAAACCCGTTTGCCATAAAATTTACCAGGGGTCATTGGTATCAATGTAAAGGTAAAGAAGTGGGCTATCACAATGTGGTATTAGCCAACGGGATCCAGTTAAATAGTAAAAAAGACAAGCACAAATAAACTGACCAAAAATTGCTAATTTTTGGAAGGCCGTAGCGCTCGCTGTCATTTTGCAATACACGAAATATCTACATGGTTGTACTGGGCAAATCCTGTAGATGTGAAAAAATGTAAACATTGTGTAGGTCTGAGGTCTTTTTGCTGCACTATAGGCAGTTGTTTACACCCATGCAACGGGGTCAAATCGTGACCCGGCAAACGCCGTATCTTAGAGAATAACGCGTTCTACGGTGACCTGCGGTTCGACTGCATTAAACAAAATGAATAATCACCCGCATATGACCTCAGGTGACCCAATAGAACACAGCTCTACTTCTAAAAAATCCAAAAATAACTTGAGTTGTGTTCCGATGACCTCAGGTGACTCCCATAAGAACACCTGTTCCCTGCCTGTGACCCAGATAGAAGGCCATAGAACGTGAACCCCCCAGTGACCTCAGGTGACTCCAGATGGAACAAATATTCTATGTTCTATTCAGCATGTGCAAGGGGTAAATTGTACATTGTGTCACTCTTCACTGCATCAGTTTGGATAGGCTATCGTGTAAGCTATATGATAATAGCGTTAATGGCCCGCCCTTTCTCGGTGAATATGGTGTGATAAAGCCTTGTCAGTTGCTATAACCACCTCATAAAGCCACCTCGTTCGCTGCGCTCACTTGGTGGCTTTATTCGGTGGTTATAGCAGCTGACAAGGCTTTATCACACCATATTCACCTCGGGGCGGGACATTAACCCTTAATTATTGGAGTTTCTTCATCTGATTTGTACAATGCAGGGGTTTTCAAATACCAAACTGCACTTGAATTTGCTTTTTTGTGACTAATATGAGAAAAATCCTGGCGTCCTTTGTAGATGATACTACCATGATTATAAACAATGTGATGATGCCAAGACATTAATATGAATTTGTAGATTATAAAAATGTGATGGTGCCAAGACATTAATATGAATTTGTAGAGTACATTTGTTCATTAGGTAGCTAAGTATTGATGATTCAGTGAAATTTATGGGCAGCCACTTCTGGTTCAAAGGTGCTAGAGAGATAGTTGGAATGTTTCCAATGGAGGTGCAAATACTTCCTGGCAATAAGTATGATTGCATATGAATGGAGACAGTTCTAGCTCTATAATCATGACAGTCTTTAACAGAAAGACATCAACTGCACAGCAAATTTCTTCATACCCTGGAGAGGCGTAATTACATATGCCATTACAGGGAACACTACTAAAGGCTGCATCAAGTTGTTTTTGCTAATTGGTATTCACATCAGGTTTAGATCACTTTCCAAAGAAAAGTCTTTTCAGTTATCTGGAAATGTTGAGCACAAAGAACATTTGTGGCAGTCATGCTCGCATACAATCCCTTTTTAATGATAATCCTCCAGAGAATATTTTTTTTATTATCTCCACGCAGATCTCTTAGGAGCAAGACACTATCTCTCTCTCTCTCTCTCTCTCTCTGTATATATATATATATATATATATATATATATATATATATATATATATATATATATATATATATATATATATATATATATATATATATATATATATATATATATATATATATATATATATATATTATATATATATTTATATGTTGGCCTGGCCATATGCCATATTCAGTTGGCCCCACACACTGGCAAACCTAGCATCTTGCCCCGAAGAGATTTGCTTGGGGATTAGTCATTTGAAGTGACATTGTAATCCTGTCATATTCCTTCTTATTTCAAATCCTCCTGCAGTTGACCTTGCTCCTGGGGTGTTCTATAGTTCAAGGTGATCAGGTTCCACATCACCAGACACATAATTCACATTCTACCAGTCAGGCAAACCAGCGTGGGCACTGAGGTTTGAAAATTGATATAAATTTACAACAGGAGCTGTTTCAGTACCTGGGACATCACCAATTCAAGGTATATATAAGGTGAAGGTAGTCCCATAGTCTTTTTCTGGCGGTAGGGGCAGTGGGTGGGTAATCCACTATTTCCAGGGCATGATATTGGAGGGCGGAGCCTTTTCCAGTCTATTCACAGTCTTTTATCTTTTCAACTGAAGAGTCAGGTACCCATTTTATCTATTACACCTGTTTGTGGGTAGAGTGAGGAAAACTGTGCCAAGTGCCTTTCCCAAGGATGGAATTAGCAGTGTCTACATGTAGGTAAGAATGCCAGGAATCAAACCCTTGACCTCTCCATCTCGTGTCTGCTGGTTTTACCCATTCAGCCAATCGACACCACTGAGGTCTTACCTTGTTTTCACATGTTGCGTTGGCTCCAGAGAAGACCAGTGCTCCAACGGTGTTTCTGTAGCCAAACCAGGCTGCCCACAAAAGCGCCGTCATCCCGTACTGAAACGGAACAAAGGAGTTGATTTTCATCTTTATTGCCTGTTCTTATATGTATACCCACATGGGCTAAATGCAATAGTTGTAACGGAGTATATGAGTCTTGCATTTGGGTGTAACAGGTTGTTCGGTGTAATATAGCTAGCTGCTGCCGTGCCACGTTACTGCAAAGCTGATGTGTTATGCTGAAGAGCGGTTATACCGGCTATATATACAAATACAGATAATTAATTATAGTATTGATAGTAAACAAAGGGAGACAAAACTAAGCATATTCATTGATGTTATCACTATCATATACATCTTAGATCCTAAATCTATTATTTGACTTGATACCTTCTGTTCGCTCTGGAAACTTTCAATTAATAGAGATAAAACTAAAGTAATGATTTTTTCTAAGAATATGCGAACAGGTAATAAAAGAAACCCCAACTTCCAATCACAGGGCCAGATTTTAAAGTTAACAAGCTTTTACACATACCTTGGTGTAGATATAACACCCTCAGGTTCATTTCATCGTGCAACAAAACAACTTAGAATCAAAGCCCTCAGGGCGTCTTTTAAGCTCAAGTCCCTACTCATGTCAAACCACAACCCATCCATTCCTTTAGCTCTTGATCTGTTCAATAGTCTAGTGAAACCAATTCTCCTGTATTGTAGTGAAATTTTAGGACCAACGGTCCAGTCACGGGATCTCATTCTCAACGGAGTTACTGAATGTCCCAATGAAAACGTAAGAACTCTAGTATCCAATATTATATTTCCGATATTGGGCAGAGATATAAATTTCAACAAGGCTCACCGTGTAGGGAAAAAAGCCGATCCATCTATGTCATCATCTAACCGCCCTATTCTTATCCGACTTAGTAACTACAATGACAAGTTAGATATTATATATCATTCCAAAACACTAGCTAACCAAAACATAACAGTAGTCCAGCCTACTATTTCTTACGAGATTTCCGACTTAGAATACGTTCTGCTAAACTTCTGTAAGATACTTCTCCGCGTCCCTAAAAGCTCAGTTAACGCTGCTGTAAGGGGCGAATTAGGCATATTCCCACTGTACATAGATATCCAGACGCAACTGATCAAATATTGGATAAGACTAAACAACCTTCCTGATGACAGAATAGTTAAGAAAGCATATCACGAAGCCGTTAGACAAGAGCAAGACTGGGTAGTCCATGTACGAGACACACTCTGTAGACATGGTTTCCAAAATATTTGGTTGAATCCCATTACAGATGCCAAATATTTCGGATTCATTTTCAAAGAGCGCCTTAAGGACGGATTTCTATCTGGCTGGAGGCAAAAGATAAATAGCTTTAAAAAACTTGAGACATACTCAAAAATAAAAAAGAACTTTCACATCGAGAACTATCTCCTTTCTGTTCAAAACAAATCCTTTATAGTTAATACCACAAAATTAAGAATCGGAGCACACTGCCTAGAGATTGAAAAAGGCAGACACAACAATATACCAGCCAGTCAGAGATTATGTCCTACGTGCAAAGATGGAGTTGAAGACGAATATCATTTCCTGATGACATGCCCCACATATGACGAAGAGAGACGCAAATTAATGCAGATGATCCGATGTAAGACTACTAAAACATTACCCAACACATCTAGAGAGACGTTCCATGTACTTATGTCATGTCCAGACACATTTTCTGTATATATAGGTCAATACATTTATAATGCCATGCAAAAAGACATCTTAGAATAGCTGTATAAGTAGAGTCACTGAATTTTTTATCAACTACATGTATATAGTATAGCGTTTCGTAGCATTTGTATGTAGAATCTTAACATTCCTGGCAAGTAACTTAGTATACACTGTTTAGTAGCCATATGCGTAGAACATGTTTAGTATAATTAGGTACAACTGCTCACTGTACCCTTCATGTGTATAGTCTAGCGTAATGTAGAATGTCATGTAGAGTCGAAATATTCTCTAGCCAGTAGTTATTTATAATACTCTGTCAGATACAATGTCCGTTGACCATATATATAGCATTATGTTAGACACATACCAACTAGTAATCTTATTATTTGCCATACATTGTACCCGTGACAATCGTTGTGCAATAAACTTTGACTTTGACTTGACTATTATTTACAAACAGTTAAATAATTGTATAAAGCTTATAATGCTACCTTGAAATCTATCATATACATGTACATGTTACAATTAAATCAATAATTGTTGACAAATCAGTTAAGCATATACATGTACAACTACTGAAAAAAGATTTCATTTATTTAGTGGCATCTGCAATCTGTTACTAACTTAATGTCTATATTATTAAGACAGATTAAATGGCACTGAGTATCATAGTAACAATACATGTACATGTACTGACTTTTAAAAAAAAGGCAAAGCTAGATGATCAGGACAACTATTCATTGAACTCCCTTAACTCAATCTGTAGTCTCTCACATCCTTTAAAGCACTAGTTGATATAATAATAACTAAAGTCAATACCCTGCTCAATAGAAAGGTGAACTTGCCAAATTATCACTTTGATAGGAGAGCTTATGATCTGATCCAGTCTGTGGACATTATACAGTAAAAGTTTTTTATGTTCGGCGCACGAGAGAGCTGAGCCGATAAGCCGGGGGCCACAAAATTGATTATAGATTTCCCTGCCCTAATCGTCCCTTTCAACAAGCCTCCCGTGTCACGTTTTATTACGATCGGTCTGTTCAAGATCACATGCGATCCTGTGGAGCAATAAATACTCGGCGCTTTGAAAGAAAACGGTTTATTCTGTGGTAATGCTTTCTCAGCCTGGATTAGCATACACATACTAGTAGTCTTTCATATATAGCGGCTTTGTAAAGGCGGGTCATAATTCCAGGGAACTCCAAAGAGTACTCTCATACAGTGTCATGTATTTTGTTTGCAATATGCCTGGTAGGCATACAATATTTCAAACTGTAATGGGTTCAACCTTACCTCTTTCAAAGATAGAGTCAATATATTGTGAGTTTCTATCACAGATTGTATCTATATATTCAGACATGCATGCATTGGGAATCTGTATTCAAGTGAGGAACTCATGTAAAAAGCTCTCTCTCATAAGATAGCTGCACTTGTGAGGGAATGGCTAAATTACATGGGCAGTCAGACAGGCGTGACTTTGCAGTAAGGTCAGACACTCAGGATGTTCACTGATAACGTCTCAAGAACAAAAGCAGTATGATCGCGGCAGCATCTGCAACGCTACATGCATATGTTTGCAGGGCTCAGAATTCTTGTTCTGCATACATTTGTAATAAGTACATGTACACTACTGCTAGCCTGAGTGTCAGCCTTGTTAGCTTTCGTCCGCTACCCAAGGTCCGCTCCCCGCGGGGAGCGGACCTTGGGTAGCGGACGAAAGCTAACAAGGCTGACACTCAGGCTACACTACTGCAGGTAATTAAATGAAAAATACCTGCACCAGACACATTTTACCAGCACTGCTCAGAAAGAGTGGATAACACTAAAAACTGTTCCTAAACCACTGTCATTATTTCTTCTACACTCCAACATATTATGTAGTGACAGTCAATTCAGCAAAATGGAAATCCACGAGCTTATTTTGTATACAAGCCCAATGCATGGCCCAGTACAGGTTAGATGCAGATAGATAATCTGCAAATTTAGGTGGTATTTTGAGCCCTGTCTTTGAGACTAAAAATCAGCAGATAGGGGCACATTCTGCCATGCTGCACATGGAATGCTGAAGCTGTCTTTCAACAAGAACAGGCAGGTCATTCGTCTTCTGTCTGTTCGAACCGGTGAAAGATATGCGTGTATTAGACATGCGTGTAACGATATTGGCACGGTCTTATGGCTCGGAAAGGGGATCACAAGATACACCGGTAGAATACTTCAGCTCATGATCATGAAGCACAATGCATGTGTGCACTTAATCCTGTTGTTCACATAGTTCTAGGGAATTCAGAGAAACTAGTGACAAGGGGCAAGGAAAAACATTTCATGCAGTGCAATAGCTCAATTGGTAGAGTGCTCACTTTGTAACCGGGAGGTTGCGAGTTCAAACCCCGGCCGGGTCATACCAAAGACTTTAGAAATGGTACACACTTCTTTCTGCGCTTGGCACTTAGCACATATGAGAAAGAGTATGGGAAGGTCAAACACACCGCACTACCAGCAGACTAGCCCCCTGCTGTAGTGCATAATTTTATATATTGCACAACTGTGTGTCGCCCAAGGGCTACAGATATGGATATGGGCACCTCCCTACGCTCTGCATAAGGGAACGGGAGACCTTTCCTTTTCCTTCCTAAGCTAAGTTGCTAATTTCTAAGATTACTACAGTTACTGTAACTTAATACTTGATAATCTTACATTTACAAATGCCAGTATTTCTACGGGAGATACAATTTTGGGACGGATCAAAGATTGATCTAGTCCATTTAATATTTCAGTAGGAGCACATACTAAGGACTTTTTCTGACATTTGGGACCATTTAGGGCGATAAGGGTAAACACTAACAGCTGCTGTGCAGTGGTAATACTGAACATGCTTAATTACTTCCTAATGCTTGCCTACAGAAATTACTATAATAAGTTATGCTTTTAAATTACATACAGTCATCCAAGGCAATGAAAATGTTCATGGACGATCGATAGATATCTTCCTCTATGCAGTCCCAAGGGATGGAATATTACCAATACCAGTAGTGACGACAGGGAAGTGGTAGAAAATCACTTTCCTTGGGCCAAGCAATTAATAAGCATTATATTGCATGACGTATATGTTATTATAATGGCTTGTCCTTTGTGTGACATGTTTAGTGTTCAAGTAGCTAGAGTACATGTCAGATGTTGTGTTGATGTTTTGGTCATAGCTACAAAGTAGCTTTGTACCAGATTCATATTAGTACACAACATAAGGTAATAGATAGTGAAGACTATTGTGTGAATATAAGAATATAAGGAATAACATAAAATGCCCTCTCCTTGAAGTTCCTACAAAAAAAATCTTTAAAAAATCAGACATTTGAGTCTTGATTTTTACCAGGATTACCACGATCAAAAATTACAAAATGTACCTTGGGGTTTAGTGGTTCAAGATGGCAGTTTGACAACATTAAATGTTATCTTTCACATTTAGAATCTCTGTGATTTACATCCAATAAAGCAAAAAGTCCTACAATAAATTTTGTATGTAAACCCAGTATATGAGCTGGTTTTGGAGCTGATGCAAGTAGGCATCAGAAATACCTTGCACAGCTTCAATTTTACCCGCACATAATGCAGGTGGTATTGTGACCCAGAAAAGAAAAGAAACTCAAGGAGCTTAGAGAGCTTGCGAGGCAGAAGGCACGGTGGAAACAGAATTGAAGAAAGACTGAATGCAGCTACAGGATATTTCCACACAACTGTAGACGCAGAACACAGTGAATGATGATGATGATGATTGTGACCCATGAAACACATTCGGTTTCTCCTCGATTTCCATCCTGTAGTTCACAAGTGCCTTCCGCAGGCCCACCCATTAGCCCGTCATGACGCGCTTGGCTGGGAGCCACGCACATAAAGCTCAGAAGGATGGCTGCTCAAGCTGTCAGAGTCACGACTCCCTCCCTTCTGTGCAACAACCTGGCACTGAAGGCTTTTCTGAATTCCACGCACACTCTTTAAGCTCTGTCAAGTCGTCCTTGCTTGACACACCAAAGACAATCAAAAACTTAGTCTGCAGTCGGTGAGCATATTGCAACACACACATAGAGCTTTTATCATCAGAGATTTTGAGTAAAAGATAACTAGTGTGGGCCAAAACAGGCTAATAATAACGCTGGTCCGACTTTTCTGAATTCTATGCACAAGCTCTGTGAAATGATCCTTGACTCGGGCAATCAAAAACTAACCACAATCTGCAAAAATATTGCATCACACAAGGAGATTTCATTGTCAGTAATATACTAAGTATTAAACATTGAGGCACAACAAAATTATGAACATCTCACTGAAGGTTTTTCTCAATTCCGCACACAAGTCATGTGAAATCATCCTTGACACACTGACAATCAAAACTTAAACCGCAGTCTGCAAGAATATTGCATCACACAAAGAGATTTCATCATCAGAAATATGAGACAGTGTGCATCAATGTATTCTAAACGAAACTAGGGTGCTTTTCTGAATTTCGCACGCATTTCTGTGAAGTACATTGTAGTCTTTGACACAGAAGATCAAATGTGACAGCAGTCTGTGAGATTCATCTTCCTTAATATTAATAAAAGAGACAAGGGTGGGCTACAACAGGCTAACAAGGTGGCACCGTAGGCTTTTCTAAATTCCACACACATTAAGCTCTGTGAAGTCATCATTGACACAGACAATCAAATGTGACAGGTCTGTGATGAAATTCTATCAACAGGAATGTTAAGCAAAAGAAACTAGGGTGGGCCACAACTGTAACAACTAGGCTTTTCTGAACTCTGTGCACAAGCTCTGTGAAGTCATCCTTGACATACCAACAATCAAAAAGCAGTCTGCAACAATATTGCATCACACAAACGTAAGAGATTTCAACGTCATATGAGTAAAAGAAGTAAAAGGGTTTGTCGCAACAGCAGGCTCTAATTAGAGACTTGTATGTCATTTCAGCTGGGAACAGGAACCCAACGCGCGTAAAGTTATCTTTTGTCTGAAGCGTTAAAAAGACATTAGGGTTGGTGTTAACGAATATGAATCATCCTTGCACGCGCTATTGCTCCTCTGGGAGAGATAAAGACCGAAAAGGGTCCTTTTATCATAGTTTTCGATGAAACGGAAGACCTAGTTTTTACTACCCTTATCTTGTGATTGGCATTTAAGACCAGTTTAATGGACTACTTGGGAATACTTCAGACATGAAATATGTTTGCTGCAATGTTGGGGAACCTCTCACCAGTCTCTCGCAAACTGTCGTATTAGAAAAGCAATACAGGCAATCCTGCCCAAGAAGACCACTCAGGGGACCAATAAAATCAGGTCTATGTGGACAGGTGGTCACTACACACAGGATTCTTGAAATGAATGTGTCAATGGGAAAAGTTATCTAACTAATTATAAAGGGACCACCAACAAGTTGGTGACTGTCACAGTTAGACCAGGTGGTCCTTATGTATAGATGGCCACTTGCACACTAACAGGTTTGGCAATGTAGTCCTTGGAACACCTGTGTATCCAAGGTTATCGTGGCACAGCTATGACATTAATGCAGGACTCTAGCCAGCACCAGTTTTTCTGTCAATTACCTGAACTTTGCGGCGTGTGACAGAAATTTTTTTTTAAAACAATCCGTCAATATTGACAGACAGAATTAACACAAATTTTGAAGGCTTGAAACCCCCCCTTGATTGTGAGCGCCTCCCTGAATCCGGTGATAAACCTGGACTGACGGAGAAAAATTTTAAGCTGGCTAGAGCTCTGCAGCATAAATATTATGAAACAACTGTCTCACCTTGTCCTCTCCATCGATGTTAGCGTCATGGCTGGAAAGCATCTTGACAATCTCCGTGTTTCCATTTCCCGCTGCCCAGTGAAGGGCAGTTCTGTCAACCTGGAAATAATATTATCATCATGTTCAAGAGTTTACAGTACTGTACATTTTAGGCATTCTTTTCTTTCAGTTACAACCCTTTAAGAGATAGACTAGATCTGTCCATGATATCAGCGTCATTGTCTGAGAAGTTTTGGATAACGGAATCTCCCAAAGTCACCATTGCCACATTCTTATGACAGTAATGTTCAGCCAAGTGATTTGTAATAATACACTAGTCTAACTTGTATCTTACACAACATATTTCATTTCATATATTCATGACTTTAACTACTGTGCTGGTTGCAATAATATGATAGATATTTTGAATTTTTCTTCTATAAATGCTATGGAACAAAGAAAGCAAATAGACTATAGACTAAATTGGGTCCATTCTTCATTTTCTTTGATATTCCACCATCGTTAATGTCTCTTGAGAATTGAATGACATTGAAAAAAAAACATTTACAAGTTATTGAGTTATTGGGTCTAACCTGATTCCTAGCATTGACGTTGACGCCTGACGACAGCAGTGCCTGGACCCGTTTGATGTCATTCTTTCTGGCGGCCTGGTGCAGTTCCTTCTCCTGACGGGTCACTGCAAGGGTAAAGGTTAGAAGACAGGTCACCGCAAGTTTAAAGTTCAAAGCTTACAAGTCACCAACTAGTACTACAAGTACATATATCTATATATATATATCTATATATATCTATATATATCTATATATATCTATATATATCTATATATATCTATATATATATATATATGTGTGTATATATATATATATATATATAGAGAGAGAGAGATAGATAGATAGATAGATCTATATATATATATATATAGATAGATAGATAGATAGATAGATAGATACATAGATAGATAGATAGATAGATATATAGATATAGATAGATATATAGATATAGATAGATATATATTTAAATATTCCCTGTCATAAGTACATGTAGGTACCGACTGTGATTAGAATGTACTAGATTCTAGTAACTATTAGTTATAGGGAAAGAGCAGGTCCTTCCAATGTCACCACCACTAGCTGGACTGCCTTTGAAATTGGCAATCATGAACAGATATTAAGTTTCTATTTTGCTCTCATCCAAGGTAAGTGCAGTGAGTGAGGAGAATGCCACATTCTGAAATTCTGTTATCTCGCATATCTTGAGATCTTAAAAGACTTTTTAAGGAGACAGCTGCATTCAAAAGCAAGTGCAGGTGCTAAGAATATAATAGTACGGGTGGGCTGTTAAGCAAGTGCTTATTACTAAATAATTTTTGCTTAGACTATCTTGTATCAGAAGGGATCTGTATTTAAAAATATCTTGACATTAGCATTTTAATCTTGATTAACGTCAACAAACACATAAGTTAAGGAAATTTCAAGCACACTCTTCAAGTTCCTTCATGCACCTGTATAATTTTTTTCATAGATTCAAAACATTCTCATGCACGAAAACAAATCTAGTCTCTACCATACTCCAATAGTTATAAGATTTAGCCAAATAGAATAGTACGCCATTGGAGTCAGGTGGAGGTTACAGAAATGTCTTAATCTACACTAGTTAAGTGGCAATGAAGCTGCTTTGTGTTTTGTTGTGTGTATGGCCCAGTGATGAACACATCCTCTTTATAACATATTAAGCTGACAGTGTGTGAAAATTGCTCACCCAAACATTAACGTGGGCAATTTTGCGCAAAAGTGAATCAGATGTGCGATTAGCAATAAGTTGTAAATGAGGTTGGATGCAGGGAGTGTGTGTATCATGGGCAAGGTTATAGGGGATTATAATGTGGCTTTTATACAGCCAGTTACGGTAAGAATGAAAGGCTTCACTCTGGTAATATTGCTGCATCATAAAGTGTCATTCATTGGTTGCACTTTTTGCACAATGTGCAAATTTAGCATACTCCTACTTGTATCAGGTCCTTCTTCTGCCTTGCCAGCTTTCTTCCAAAACAGCCACATGCTGTTCTCTGGTCCTTCTGTCGTCATTCTCTTGCGCACATTTTCCCATCTCCGTTTGGGCGGCCTGAAGGGAACGGGCATGACCGGCACCGGCCTGGGTCTGGTGGGGTCGTTAGCGGGTTGATAGCCGGGGCGACTATCCGGGACCACCTCAGCACCCCGCAGCAGGTTATCGGTTTTCCACTTCAGGATCTCGTCATGCGTGCTTCCCGGCAGTTCCGCCATCTTTTATATACTATGATATTAGAATCTCCGACTTGACGTATAGGCAAAGTTCCAACGTAGAGTTCAGATGATGATTGAAAATGAAATCGAAGTGAATCGTTCCAGAGTTTTTAAGCTCAGGCTGATGCTTCCAGGCAGTGCCAACATCTTCTAAATAGAATTTCCGATTTGACCAAATGTACAGACAAAGTTCCAGCGTAGACTTCAGATGATGATTGCAAATGAAATCAGAGCTTTATTGAATCCTCCCTTAGTTTTTAAGCTACTGATGATGCAAGACTACGAAAGGAGTCAGTCAAGGGAGGGGTTTTTCCACAGGAGTGATGACACTTTGAATAATGATGATGATGCACATGTCCATTAAGTTCAATCTATTGTGATGACAAGGTGGAAATGAGGTGTCCATCACTCATTGCTTCCTCCCTGGTAAATTACATCCTGTAAGGGACATTGTAAGTTATGAGATATCTTCCCCCAATATGGTACAGGCCTAGTCAACAACATTGCAATCACACACTGTGACACAGGGATGGATTTATCTCATGGTTACACATTAGAGTATTAAGCTTGGCAAATTTGATGTATGTAACACACAACAAAAGGGGGCCTGGAATATTTAGTTCGTCGGGAATAGTTTGTCGTGTCGTTGAATCAGGTATAATTTTTTTTTTACACAAAAAGTGAGACGAAATGAATGTTTTCCTGCACAAGAATTCTACAAGTTCAGTAACTATTGACGCATAACTAATCTGTCTGTTTACAGATACATACAAGGTATCTAAGTCTTACAATAGGGCATTTTAGAAGGCATTTACATTAAATTTTGCAAACTGGTTGCTCCATGAAAGCAAAGGCAGGTCAATTAAAGCTATCCCTCTAATAAACTACTAAATCCCAAACATTTGCTTACACACACAACTTTACATCGTTTCCCAAATTCGCCTTAAGCACCTAGATACGTGCACCTAAAACATTAACCCTGTCACCAGGTGCTAATGTCTGACTCTAAGATACAATTTCCCTGCAGCATGTTTCATTTCATCGCCCCAAGTCAGAATATCATTACTCTGATGCCATTGTGAAATGTTGTAGTTCGAGTACCTTAATGTGGGCCCAACCGGAGGCAAACTGTTTCAGAAAAAGGTGCAACAGAAAGGGGTCCCTTCTCAGAAACTGGGCTCCTGCATGTAATAAACAATATGGCTGCCGTACTGGTTGGACAGGTCAGACTAAGGGCCAGGGGGTCCACATGTCTAACCTATTGGGTACAGGTTGTCACGTGCATGCTTAACCACCCATGACTGGTATAAAATAGGCGTAACACACCAGTTTTGTACTGTAAGTACAACCTGCTTAAGACCGGACTATAAGGCCTCCACTCATACTTGGATAGACCTACTATTTTAGAGGGTGTGACGGGATCATCTTTAACGTACTTGAGGTGTGGCTCTCCTCAAACACGGGACCTTTGGCTTTACATCCCATCTGAGAGGACGTCCCTACCCAAAACTTAAGGTACTGACAACTGACATTCATGACAGTCACTGTAATGTATGCAAGTGTGGCACAATTATCACCAACTGTGTCCCTTTTCTTAAACATTTGTAATCTACAATTTTAGTCACTGAATCGGTACGTTATTTATTCTTGTCAGCAGCTGAATACATTACGTACATTAAACTCATCTCTGCTCCAAGATCAATACATTAATAGGCACAATAAAGTTATCTTTGCTGCAGAATCAATAGTGACTCCGAGGTCAGCCACAAAGAAACCAGGCTCCTTTGGCGGACGCGGAGACATCAGGTGCAGTCATCATGTTTGTGGTACAGGTCCAATCAACCTTGACACACGCAACCTCTGGCCTCCGAAACATCTTGTCGCTTTATAAATGCCCCGTCCGCGGCTCTGTACCTCATTTGTACGGCAATCTTCCCCCCGCCGAAGCAGCCGGGCCGTCGCTACAAACTCCGCGGCCCAGATGTTGGTACTGATCATCCATCAGTGGTGCTCTGGGAAGGAGGCCTGGCCAATATCCATCCCCTCGTCTTGCTGTATCCTCTGTAGGCAGTCGATGGATCACACAGGCAGTCATGGTTATCTTCAGAGTGGCTTTCTTTCTCTGAATTTGGCACACGTCGGAGCAATGCTGCAGCAGTTGAGGTCCAAAGGGATCCGCTGCTCATAAATACCTTGTACTTTTGCACGGTGGGGTCCTTATTGATTATCAATACGACTGTGTTGGATAGCTGTACTGTATGGGTTCAATGTACCATTGATAGTAAATAAATAAGTTATCATGGATAAAACTTGGCACCATTCAGAGTTGCTGTACTAAATCAGAGTTTCATCTTATGATCTACTCCTTCAAGTCCAATTCAGTCTATAACCATTCTGGCATTTTTTCACTTTTATGTCCATGGTTTTCGCGGTCACTTCTGTACATGTACCGCGTACATATCATTACTATGAACAAATAATTTGCCGACTTTCTCTTTGCTATGCATGCCGCCGCTGCGAACATATGATATAGTTCCGTGAGCATTTCCATTTTTTTCTGAGGCCCCAAACTTCTGCTATCACGAACATAAAATGAGTTACTGTAGCGTTGACGGATAAATTTCAAAATTCTAATGACAGCACTACAGCTATCACTTAACCAAATCCCTTGCAAAGCACAATTTTGCCTGCAATCAATACCTGTCAGGACTCCGCCCGGTTCTGGCAGGGCTCCCTACTGTAGATATACCATTTGAGTTGCTAATGCATCGCCAACACTCTCAGTCACGCATTGATTAAAACATAAGCCGTGGCTACAACTTAATGCATCAGGCTAATTGAAAATAACATCTTGCCATCTTCGCACTGACAGCTTCGATAAATAACGTTACAGAAGTCTCTACTCAACTTGACAGTCGACAAAAATGCAGTACTGTGACTTTCGTAAGGTCTTTTACAATACCTACAAACTTTCAGAAACAGATAGTGTATACAAATATGCTTGCATACAGTTTTGATACAAAAATCAACATGTTGAGTTGTAGATTTAATGCAGGTTTTCACTAACTCCTGCTTCTAGGGTCTAAAATATTTGACATATTTGCCTATTTGTGTGTTACCAAATATAGTATATCTTTTCAGATTCATTCAATAGACCATTGCATTGAATATGATTCAATTGCAGCAGCATAGAGCATTGGAGCATGTACATATGTAAAGTCATGTAAACACTGTTTGACTCTTGTTTTAAGGACCATGTGGTTTTTGATGGCTTGTCCAATAATTACAGGTGACAAGAAGATCGATCTTTTGAAACTACAGCACCAGTAGAACAATGTATTCAGGGCTCAAAATAGTTTTTTTCATCCCTGTGGCATCGGAGATAATAATATATCTGCATGCTTGGAGGGATATCACCATATGGCAAAAATGGAGGTCAGAAAAGCAGATGGGTCATATGAATTATGTATCGTCAAATCTAAATACATCTTGTAAATGATCAACAAACAATATATATTATGCAACTACCCACGTACCCATATAATGTGACAGTCTTAAGGTACCTGTTGGAATTCTGAGAGTTGATGGTATACTACTTGCATCAGTTCTTTATATTATGTTATGATAACCTCATATTTATATTATGATAACCTCATTTCTCTATAAATGACACATTCTAGACTCATCCAATATTCAGAGGTGCCGGACACCATGGTCATTATATTATCATGAATACATTTCTAAGCATTTAAATTTAATATAGTACTTCAATTGTCTATTGTTTGTTTTCGATGTTGTGTGTACAAAATGTAGTCTGAGCCAGTAGTATACTACTCAGTCGTTGATGATAAAGGGGACTGGACCAGGTGTCTAGTACTTGATCCCTAACAAACAGCTCTTGTTGACAGTGCCAACACTATATAGTGTAGATACCTTTCTCAATTTACACACACAGTAGCTAACTTGACGTTTTACATTCAAAATATCTGCCCAATTTCCATGTGTGGCTGCATAAGTATAAAGTTTAAAGTATTTCAAAAACATGACGTACATGTACCGTAAATATTGTAATGTTCACTGTGTTATTTTTTTCAAGTTTGTGGTTTTTGTGGCAATTTTTCCCCACGACTGCCATTACATACATTTAAGATCATTATGCCTATTGATAATCCATTGTGTTATTACTAACAATAATTGATTCAGCTGCAAGTTTAACAGCTAACTCTAGGTCTTCACTGTGACTGGAACTTAAAACCAATTTACAGTACATGTATAACTGAGTAAACAACGTGAAAGGCCAAGACACGACCACCCAACTGAACACAATGGTCATGTGACCGAGGTCGCCTCGCCCCAGGGTTCTGACTCAGCTCAGGTGACGTCTTCTCTGTAACTAATTGGCCGACAAGAATGCAGCTCACCTGGTATTATTTTTACATACCGACCTACATGTACCTGTACTCAACAACAACACAAGAGTCCTCAGGACACTTTATGTAACACAGAGTTTGTTTTGTCTATAGCTATTTTGATCAATCAGAAAAGAATGACTTTACGTTAAATGAATGAGTAGGAAAAATTCTTAGCAAAATCCACCTACACGTAGATTTTTACGTCCAGGTATGTATGTTAGGTATATGTAAGTAAAGTAAATATGTATGTTAGGTTGTGGGTTTGCGTGACTCTGTTTGTCTGGGCACAGTAGAACTTGACAGTATGTAGGTGAAGGCAAAACGACAGTTAAGAGGTCAAAAGGTCAGACACAGGAATCGGGGTGAATGAGATTCTCAGAATTTGACCGGAAGCCGGCAGGAATTTGTGGTCAACATTACTGGGGAACTCAGGAAGCTGAAGATTTGCATACTTCCCAGAAATCCCAGATTTCTCTTTCATCTAAAAAAACAGACTGCTCCTTTTCTTATCGTTGCCTATTTGGCAAAATAAGAGCAACGCAGTTTTATGCTATGTTGACAACATTTTCATATGGCCTGTATTGTCTCATACATGTATATAGGACAATACATGCATATAAGATCACTAATGTGGAAATAATCAACATGACAGGTCATATTCAGTATTGAT